CTGAAGCTATTTATTCAGTCACATTGGGGAATAAATTTCCCTCATGACACTAACTAACAAGAATGAACGGTGCAACCGTTAGGTGATTTTTGCCTAGAAACGATTTCTAACGAATAAAATCCGCGAATATTCATTGAAATCAGAAGCTGTCCTCGATGCCCTTCGCATTTATTCGACAACTGTGCTTACAAACAAACTGCATTGATCTCTATCCTTCACTTCTAACCTATTCATCGAGAGGACAACAGCACTCAAGTGTTCTCAATAGTTCAAGGGTTTACCATCGATGAGCATAGTCTTTTGATGTATCACAGGATAGTCCTCATAAGTACCGAGAAGACGGAATGGATCAAGTGAGCCGTTTGGAAGAACAATATTGGCAACCTTCAAGAATACAATCATTGAAAATAACCAATGATCGAATACAATGAATTGCGAAAGCTGAGGACTGTCACAATGCATCAAACAAACCGTGTAGTCAGTCGCATCACCGTAATTACTGCGGAGTGCAAGATTATTGTCTCGAATCGTCGTGATACTAAGTGTATCACCGAAGATGTCCACACAAGCATCGATATAGTANCTTCAGAGGCCTATCAAGAGGATTTGTAATCTAAGCGGCAATTTCACGTGTGCATCTGAATGCCTGCTCTCAACTCTGAAGTAAGGTTCAATCGGAATGCGACAAAAAAGGCAGATTTCTATGCTGGTTATTTTCTAGTTGTTGTTTTTATCTTTGTTTTCGAGATACATTCGAATACATTCGAACTATGAACTTGGTGCCACTGAATGGAATTTTAACAGAAATTAGAAATTTATGCTTAATACCGTACTTTAGTGGGAGCATACTTCCGAAGATGTTCCGTCCAGAACTGGTGGTTTGCATGAGACCAAGTTGGTTACAGCTAATCCAAATCCAGGCTCTCCAGGCTGCTGAAATTGATCAACTGATCATGTCAACTGGTCATAAACGAGCATACACGAGTATCCCCAGATGCCCACTTTTTGGAAAAATCCTTCCGTGTC